GGGGGGCAGTCTTGAACGTGATCTTCTCTCAATGCTGGCCTGCGTGTCAGTGTGCCCCTCGTAGAGTCAAAAGCAGTGAATGGGCTGGGAAGTCTTGGTTACCTTACACATGGCTGAAAGGAATATAAAAAGCACTTTTTCTCCCCTCACTGGTGGGTCAACCACAGAGGCATTTACCAAGGATTAAACAAAAGACCTGCTTTTACCATTTCTAAATGGTTGCGTTGTCTGGGGAGCACCAGAAAAGATGATTCAGCCCTTCAATTAGGGTTTAATGCAAGTGGCAGAACACTGAAGAAAATGAACTCTGAGGTCCTGGGCATCTGGGAGACCTGTAAATGCAGCACTGCCTTATCCTGCAGTGCTCTCTGCCCCACCTGTCCTGTGGGGCAGGCCTGTCCAATGCTGTTCCCTGCCCATGTCCAGCTCCAGGGACAGGCTGCAGCTTCTGTTGCTGCGGGGGAGGCAGAAGGACAAAAGCCTGTGTTGTCCTCTCCTCCCAGACTGCAGGGTGGCTCCTGGGGCACACCAGGCCTGTGAGCAGAATTGCTGCCATGCACCTGGACGCTTCCATGGTGTGCCGAGTCCACCTGGGCATCTGCTTCCCCAAGCTCACTGCGGGGATCAGGAACTACCTGCTGCTGCTCAACTCTGCTGTACAGTGTGTTCCTCCTCCTCTCTTTTAGGGTCCTAGAGCCCGGAATGACTCTTCCCGGAGCTACCTATCCAGACAAAACTGCACTGAAATCTCCACTTGTGAACTGAGCTGCCTATAATGTATATTTACTTATGCATAGGTTAATAGATGCATTGAAAATATAGATGCCTTGTTTTAGGGCTCTAGATGTAGAGCTTGCAAAAAAGAACCTTTTGCACTACTGAAGATGAATTCAGGTCAAGCTAGAGAAAGCTGAGCTAAGAGGAAGGAAGAAGAAGCTCAGTTCTGTGCAGCCAGTTGCTTACAGGGAGTGAACTGAGTGCTTCTGGTGTTTCTGAAGCTGGGAAAAATGCCTTACAACAGCCAAGACCTAACCTTTAACAAAAAACTTGCAAAATACTGAATAGTTACTTTAAAAACATCTGTCCAGAAAGTGACAGCATAATGGTCTGCTCTGATCTAATCTGTTCTTTCTCCAAAAAAAGTAATGTTTGAAAAGTCATGGAAAGGACTATAAAGGAAAAGTAGCAGATAAGTCTCTGGCTCTGATTTGGAAAACGTGTAAGGATTTACTTGAGTTAACTGGCTTCTTCAATAATAAGCCATAAGTATATGCTTAATTGTTTGAACCAAGAGCCTCTGAGCTTAGCTGCGTGTTCTGCCCTAGTAAACCTTTTCTTTAAGCTTTCTGCCCTGGAGGACGTGTAGGAGAATAGAAAGGACAACACAGGGAAAGGGATATGAATTAGAGGTGATCCAAGGCTTCAGTGCGTTCCTCCTACCCCTAAATATGACCTCAGTTTGCAGGGACTCTGAGCCAGCTGTATAGGAAATAGGAGACTCTGACCAGCCTCAGGTCTAATAAAAAAAAATTGTTCTTTCTGCCTCCCTCTTCAGTTTAGTTGAAATACACAGTGTGTGTGTGTGTGTATGCTTGCAGCTTCTCTTTTAGCAAGCATTGGAGGAGCTGTCTTTGTTTTAAGAGCAAACAATTTCCTATAGAAATAGGAGTGAGGTAGAACTGGAAACTGCTGAGTTGTGTACTGGATGAGGCTGCTTGGGACTGGGAGATAAGGATAGGAGCACCATTGTTTGTGCTGAAACAATTAGGGAACTAGTTCACAATGCCACCATTAAAATTGTCATATGTAGGCTGTGGAACAAACACTTTCTGGAGGTGACTGAGACAGTGTGCTGCTTCTGGACTGGTGGTTTCAGGCCTCTATCTGTTGCTGTGGAGCTGCCAATCATAAGGCCTAAAATGATACCTTTAATAAGAGTTCTGCAGGTGTAGGTCATGCTGCACAGTCTAGCCAGGTTGGGAGAGCTGCAAGGAAAGAGAGGTCCTCTTCTAGACTAGCTGTGACCCTTACAGCAGTGGGAAAGTAGGAGCCGTTTGCATATGGACGTTCAGTAAGCCCTTGAAGTTTCACGTCCCATCAAATGGATAGCAGTGAGGCCATATGATTTAAGAACTGCCTCATGCAGTTTTGCCCTGTTGATGGCACTCTGCATGCTTTGTGTCTGAAATGGTTAATAGTTCTGCCAGTTGCAAAGTGGGTGATGTGACTCTGCAACTTAAAATAGCATCTCTGCACAGGATAAATGATAAACTTGGCATGTCTGTTTACATTGCTGCTTTGGGGCCTGATCCTAAAGGCTGCTGTTTGCCTTAAGGCTGGGGCTTCTCTTTGGAACAGCTGGAACCCAGATTCTGCTTCTTGTTGATTCTTTGTTCTGTGCCTTGGATTTTCCCTGAGCGCAGGCCTCACCAATCTGTCGTGGTTTATTTGTCCTGGAGATATTCCTTGTTGTGGACCCACAAAACTGTGCTGGAGCATGAATAGACCAGGCAAAGGTGAACTGGGGCTGATGGCCAGCTTTCAGCTCTTCAGGCTAGCATGTGCTGTGACATGGTTAAACAACCTGTAAAACTGTTTGCAGCTATGGGGATTGATGGGGGGGGGGGAAGGCAGGTCCTTGCTGTTTGCAGAAGAAAGGTTAGTACTGCTGGGGTGACCTGGGAAACAGTGCAGAGAAAATCCTGCTGCTGCTACTTATCAGCCATTTTTGTGGTTACAGTGGGATCCTATGATGACAGAAGCTAAAAACACATGTTAAAAGAGCATGAGATTCCCAGCAACATATGTAGGAGAGCTGAAGTTGAGAAGTAACACTTACCTCTCTTGTGTCAGAGACCTTGACGGTTACTGTCTGATAGTACAATGTAGTTGCTGTCCAACCACAGTGAAAGCCAGCAGAGATGCTTTGGGGGGGCCCTTGAGTATGGATGTGGGAAGGATGAAAAGGGAGACACTGGCTGTGGCTTCTTAAGTACTGCTGTAACACAAATAAACATTGCCCTCTGAAGATAACTCAAAGGCTGTCCCAGAGGAGAAGGTCACTTAGTAAAATCTCCCTCTCTGCTCATGAGAGGGAACTACTCCTCGCTTGGTGAGTAAGGAGCAGTAGTGCTTAAAAAGTGGTAACTCTACTACAAGCTAAAATTGCTCGAGTTTTCAGCTTCCTCCCTTAGCTCAGTTTTCTCTCTTTCAGCCTGCCTTTAAAGGAACTACTTTCACAGACCTGCCGTTGTGTTTGCAATTAAACATCATGCAGCGACTGAGTGATGGGAGAGACCTGGTTAGCCTTGGTCAAGTGGCTCCTGACCTGCAAGTGCTCAGCGAAGACCGGCTGCTGTGGAAAAAACTCTGCCAGTACCACTTCACAGACAGACAGGTATAGGAAGAGATGCAAGCTCCCATCAGTTTTCTGTTGTTACCCACTGGCAAATGAACGCCTCCCACTATGGGCAAACCATTCTTATTTGGCTGCCTGTTGGATCTGAGGGCTGTGCTGCAAGCTGATAATGCAAGCTGGCATGAGAACGGTCATAAAGATGATTTATTGAGGGGGGGTTTTGAATTGCCACAGCAGTGATTCCTGAAACAGGAGTCTGAGGTATGTCAGCCCTGATCCAGGTGATAACTGCAAGCCATGGTTGCTTGCCCCACGTGTGCAGGGAGAACGTGCAGACTAGCTCCAGCAGTAACTGCAGTGTCCCAGGGACTGGCATTGTCATGGGTGGTCTCGGGATGTGGTCCGTGAGGAGTGAGTCCTACTCTCTTGCCCTTTAGAACAAGAAATCCCTCTGAGTTGTTCCATGAGTAACGGGATGGTATGTGGAAACTAGCCCTGCTGCTACCCACATTGTACCTGGGTAAAGCTGCTTGGCCTCTTGCAGGCTGGTGATCATCTGGTGTCTTTAAATTTAAAAAAAAAAAATCTTGATTTATGGGTGAGTATCTGGGGTGTTTATACCAGACTCTGTACTTCAGGGATCATATGCCAAGTAATCTGCTGACTCACTCTCTATCTGTTCAATCTGGATCTGAATTTGGAAGTGACTCTGGGGAAAGTCATTTCTGTTAACAAGTACATTCAAATCCTATTGCTGCGACCAATGAACCCATAAGAAAAAAAGATATCTCGCAAGCTGGAAGCGTGACAAATCACTGAGGCTTAAAGAGTCAGTGAAGGAGCAGAACACGTCCACTTCTGAAACTGTTAAATATGGTTATACTTGCTATCCTGCCAGCCAGGAACAGCAGCTAGAGTAGTATGAAGTAGCTCCCAAGGTTTGAGGCTATCATACATTAATATCCAAGAAATAAGGATAGACCCTGATAATGGTATTGTGTGAAGGTGGTGTTGTGAGCAAGCTCGCTATAGTGGAACATTCAGAGCAGAACTTCTCTTGTTGTTGTTCAGGGACTGTTATGGGACCAGTAAAGATAACACTTTTACAACAGAGAAGAACAAAGCTTGGAGAAAGCAAACTGGGGTTTTTTGTGTAGCCAGCTACAGTTTTGATTTTTATCTTTAAGATTCGCAAACGGCTAATCTTATCTGACAAGGGACAGCTGGATTGGAAAAAGATGTACTTCAAACTCATCAGGTGTTACCCACGGAAGGAGCAGTATGGTGACACGCTGCAGCTATGCAGGCACTGCCACATCCTCTCCTGGAAGGTAGGTGTTGGTGGACCGAGTTTGTTCAGGGGAAGGCATCTCAGGGCTATGGAGCCATCCAGTGCTTCCCCTGATAGCAGCTGGATTCAGATGTGGCAATTTCTTTGCCTGTGTAACTTAGTGTTTTCCTATATCTTAACTGTTAAGACTTTCTCTTTTGCTTCAGAGATCCCATCTTCTCATCATTGAAAAGAGTAATTGCCATCAAGGCTGGAGGGAAAGGAGAGGTCGATGGGCATACTGTAGGGCTGCCCATAGTAAATAGTATCTTAGCACTGCCAGCATGCTACTGCTGCCACCTGAAAAACAGCAGGATTAGCTGGGACTACAGCTGATGGCTTCAAAGAAGCCCAGGATAAAAATTTCCTGGCTGTTGTGTTGATATCCGTAGCATGTCTCTGAATGCAAACTTCTATAGCTGCTAGTAGACTCTGGCCTCTGATCCTTCAGAAGAGGGTACAGGAGCGAATGGGATCTTGGCTGGTTTTATTTCCCTTGACTTGACAGTAGCCCCTAAAATCTGAAGCCCAGTTTTGAGCCTTCTTTTTTTAGCAAGGGTGGAAATATTACTTTGGGCTCTGCTCAGTCTATTTGCAAGCAGGATGTCTGGCAGAAGGGCAGCACTAAGTTGGCTGATGCTGTGGTACTCATTCTGCAATCTCTCTAAATGAAGTCTTCTCCTTTCCCAGGGTACCGATCACCCTTGCACAGCCAACAACCCGGAGACGTGCTCCACTTCTCTTTCACCGCAAGACTTTATCAACTTGTTCAGATTCTGAACTCGGTTCATCACAGCTTTCGCGATTCTTACAGGACACTTTATGCCACTGAGCTTGGACACTCCATTTTGTAAATAGTGTAAATATTCATGTCTGTTTGAAGCTCCTGAGTCAAGGAACAAGAGGATCTTGGAGACGAAAGGTGACATTGCTCACTGATGCGCAGCACTTAAGGAATACAGACTTCCGTAGGACTGGTGTATGAATGCAGCATGTTGTACAGAGTCCCTTTTCTCTGATCAGAGTACAAGATACAGGGCAGAAACTTCATTTTTGTTTTTAGAAGTTAAAAATGAATTTGTCCCACAGCCATTTGAGAGCTTTCTTGGTTTGTTTCTAATAATCGAGAGAAAGCAATATGAGGCTAGGACTGTTGAACTGTTTCTCCATCTGGTTTTATTTAGCATATGTATTTATAATTATGACATTTTAAAAGTATTTATGAAAAGTATCCCTGTGACAAGTTTAATAATTTTATGCTTTTTAAAAAGACACATTCTGAAATACTTAGCGTAGAACTCTAGCCTACTTACAAAAGAGAATCATACCATACCATTTTCTACCTCTAATAGATGGAGTACCTTTCAAACAAAAATCCAGTGTACAATGTGAACTTTTGTATTTTGTACAATGATTTAAAGGGAAATGTTTATGATAGTAAGCATCTTTTCTTGCATTAATGCTTACCTCTCTACATTAATTTTCTTGCTCCACTCAGTGCTTGAATGCCTAGATGATAGGCACCGTTATGAATACCTAAGACTTTACTCCATCCTCTTAATTGGTTGGTTTTATGAAAGACTAAGCAAAAGGAAAAAGAAAAGCCACAAGGATGAAAATTATCTAAGAGGGAGGAAGCTCTACTGCAGAGAAATAAGAGACTGGATTTAATCTCACAGTGTAAATTCATATCCACTCCACTAAGTTACTTGCACTGGTTGAAATCCCAAGTGAGATGAGAATCTGGTTCTTCAAGCCCATCTTTTCCTTATTTTTCCAATGTACGCTGCTCTCTATTCCCACTGCTATCAAATGAATTGAATCATCTTAGAGCTGGTAAAATGTAGGGAGAACTGGGCCATTAAATCTAGTGAAATGATGCAGTTCTTAATCGCTGAAAGATTGGCAGCATCTTGTTTAATCTCCGACTGCTGGAATTCAGGGTGATGTGAGAGACAGTACAAAGAAACCAGTTGGTGCTTTTCTAAAAAGTGCAGTCAGGACTGAGATAAGCAAGGGACTTCCAACATGGCACTTGACGTCTTCAGTTATTTGTGTGCTAAGGAAATGGAGAAGACCCATGTAGCCCATTCTGACCTTCTTTATGGGCTCGTCTAACACTAGCCTAGAGTTAAATTTTCAGTCCTGTGGAGTAAGTGGCCAGGCTTGTGCTTGCTTCATCATGGTGAAGGTTTGGTTTTCAGTCCCCTCTGTTGCATATAATTCTGTACTTTTCACCAAGCCGGAGCTAGAAGAATCCAGCGAATACATAAGAATTTGAAAACCTGCATTGGAAAGCTTTTTGCCATTAGCCAGTAGATTTCCTGTATAGCACTTTCTCTGTGTGCAATGTAAGCAGGGTACCTCAGGAGCGTAAATATTAGCGAGTTGTATGTTAACTGTGCACAAAGAATTGTGAGGAAGAGGAGTACTCAGGACAATTCAGGAAGAACTACTTGAGTTAATTATTGTTAAATATTCTGTTCTTTTTTTTTACATTTTTATAACTGACTTTCAACACTTCTGCAGCTGTTTATATATATAAAAATGGACAGTATTTGCATTTTTGCAAACTGAATCACTTTGTGTACTCTTGGAAGAGATGCAAAAAGGGAAAAAATCCTCCTAGATGGAGCAGTGAGGAAGGGAGGTAGAAACCTTGGGAAGGGGGAAGCCAGGAGAACACTGACAAGAACTGCCATTCTGCTGTATTCCAAAAAGCAAAGTGTTTTTTTTCTAGAAAACTCTCTAGGAGCCAGTGCTACTCTTAAACATGTCAGAGGCTGGCACTGTCCAGGGAAGAGGAAAAAACATGCTGGATAGGGAACTTTATCTTTGTGTTGATGCCCTCTCCATCAGCTTGATTGCTGGGTGGGAAGCATAAGCCTGCTGATTATGTTCATGTCAACTGAAAGTGATTTAAAAGCTGTTACCTTGGAAAAAATGAACTTGAGCTTGCTGGGTGTATTCCGTCACGAGCGAAGGAGGCCAGTTTGTTTGCATTCCCACATTGATGTCAGTGGGTTAATGAGGCTGAAATTTGACTTGGTGAAAGTGGATGTTAAGGACAGGAACTTGTAAGTGAAGTATTGCCACTGTATTTGGAGATTCTCATTATTTCCTCTTTTAGCAGTGAGAGGACTTGTGTGACCCTCTGCATCTCCTGCCTCCAGCCCTGACCTTGGGCTGGTTTGTTTTGTATGCTCGCTTCCTCCATCCGTAGCGAGTCAGCCTGTTGCGACTGGAGATGCAGTGGTGTATCAGAATGAAATGCTGGGTCGTCTTACTAATCTGCTTTGGTCTGAGGTTTTACTTATCAAATAACTTACCCACTGTGAGACTGTGACATTGGGTGAACTTAAGCTCAGGTTTAAATTTGGCCTAGTGCATTCCCTGCACTGCAAGACAGGTGATTCCAGCACTTGGCTGTGATTTGAGAACTTCTCAGCTCCAACCTTGCCTCTATCAGCCCTTCTCTGGTCTTGAGCAAATAGTTCATCTTGTACCCTCTGCCCAGAAAGCATGGATAATACTGACAACCTACCTATCTATGTGCACCAGAGGCTCCTATTTATGAAGTTTATTTCAGTTAGAATGGTTTTTTCTGATCCCTTAATCTCTACGTAGATCTTAAAGGGTCAAAGTACCGAGGACTGATTTGTTTGTACACACAAACGCTTTTGCATTACTCGTGCAGGGCCCTGCGGCATTGCTGTCAGTATCCAAAGCAGCAGAAGACCAAGTAACTATTGAATTAAAGAACAAAACCAACTGAAGTCTACTAGGAAAAGAAATGGGATATGCTTCATTCAATTATTGCCTCAGTCATTGTGTTTCTGCTGCAGCAACTGTCAAATACGACCTTGTGTTACAATGGTTGGTACAGAGCAATGTTGTGGTGGATTAGTACTATTTTTTGTATTTAAAACAAAATGCTGTTTCTATCCAAAGACCTTCGTCTATCCACTTGAACAAAACCCTCAGTACTTCAGCAGCACAAAGGCATCTGCTTGGCTTAGGTTGGCGGGGTAACAAACTACTGTGATAACTTGGGCTTCTAGGCAGAATGGTGTAAGGCTGCCCTTGCACAAAAAACCTCCTTTTTTTTTTTTAAGGAGAACTAGTGAATCTATTGTGAATGGAAAACAGGCTTTTACTTCTGTTTTGGAAATAGAACGTTCTTTTGCAATGGCAGTTCTCTCTGAGCTAGCGGATGCGTCTCCGTTAGGAGTACATCAGTTTTCCCGCTATGAAAGGAAGGCTTCACTGTTTTGGGGTTTTTTCCTGCCCGCATAAATCCAAAGAAATGTGACCGTCTTCAGTGGAACTGCTGTGCGTCAACCAGCGCAGCGGTGCAGAGCGTGGTGCTGTAAAGAGGAAAAACAGATCCATGCCAGGGAGGAGGCTAAAGGAGAGAGAGAGAGAGAGACCTTAGCATTTCAGCTTTTTAGAAGAGGCAAGTATTTGGAGTTAACTTTAATGTGATAGCCACTTCAAGAGGCACAATTTCAGCTGTACATACTTTAAGCTGTTTATACTAACTATGGGATGGCAAAGTTTGATCAAATGTGTGCACCTCCTCTTATATTGTTTGGGTTTCTTCAATTGCTGGAGTTTCTAGAGCCTTTTATTTTGTAAAGTGTTTAGGAAAACTTGTGTTGCTCTGCAGGCATGCTTTGTATGTAAACATTTAATTGCACCCTGCCACTTTCTGTATATGGGAGTCTCTTTATTTTTGTTTGCCCCCCGGGTTTTGAACTGCAGTAGTGACAGCTTGTGTTCCCATTCGTGTTTGACTTCAGTTACTCTTGCAAAGCTATCTCCTACAATATATGCAGGTAGTTAACCAGCTTTTCCTGCCTGGAAAATTCCTTAGCTGTTAGTAGCTACATTTGAAATAGAGCAGGAACACTTCAAATTCTGTTAAATAGCTAATAAATCAGCCATGCTGTTTCATGCTTATCTGCTGTTCAGTACAGCAAGCCAATGTTGTCCTCTGGGGTGTTCTTACAAACCCGTGGCACAGCTTCCCCACGAAGCAGCACCTTGCCAAAAGAAATAGCTTTAAATGAAAATGCCACTCTGTCTAGCTGGCCTGTTTGGGGGGGGGGGGGGGTCTGGGGGGGGGGGCCCCCTGGGGGGCTGTGGGGTGATC